CCTCCTAACGCAGGGCCAGCTTTTTGTCCAGGTGTGGGGTCTGAGGTGAAGGAAGGGTTTTTGAAGATGGGCCCTTCTCTCCAGCTTGGACATTTTGGAGTGCGTGAAATGTCCTTTTCTCGGGAGGGACGGACAGAGGCTGTCGCCCCCCGAGACCCCAGGAGGGACAAGGAGCTGGTGGAGACCCATCCTCCTCTGGGACCTGCCCGGAGCCCTCCCGGAATCCCCACCTTCTTTCCCCGGCAAAAGGGAAAAGTTTGATACGCGCAGGCATTTTCCAAGCGTCTGAGGGTGTTCGCCCCAGCCCGAGCACACGGGAGGGGGGCTCATTCACCCCCCAGCCCGGAGCGTCCCCGGCGCGGGAACCGCCGGCAGCCGGGGCCGCTCCGTAATGGATCTGATCTGTGACTTGTTGATTTCCCCTGAGCAAATAAGGCTTTGATGCAGTCCCGGCGAGAGTGGTTAGCTGATGAATTGACAAAAACTAATCAGCTTTATTGGGAAACAGGTTAAGGGCAGCAGAGTGTCAATAATTCTCCGCCTGACCCCCTCATCCATTAGGAGAGGCAGCTGATTAGACCGAGAAGACCCTGTGCTTTTTGCACTGAAATTGCTTTCATAAACTCACCATTATTAGCAGTCAATGCAAGCGGCTAATTTAGAGGAGACATCCCGAGGATGTCACATTTATCAGGGAGGTTTATGTATCATTATCTCATTTACAGAATGTCGCAGTGTAATATGTGTTTTTGGCAATAACGCTGGCCCCGCGCCTGCGGTTTGTAACGGCTTTGGGGATACCGGGRGAGTTAATTCCGAAAAACGAGAAACACCCCCATCGCAGGGCTCGGGGCACTCCGCCGTTCCCACCGGGATTTACCCCAGTGCCCCAGGCCGCCCCCTGCGTGCACCGCCCCGGCTTTTCAAAAGGAGAGATAGGCATCTGTTTGCCCACGGCCGGGGCAGSGGGGGCTCTGCTGAAAGGGACCACCCGGAGGTGTCGGGGAGCGCGCTCCTTGCGCTATCTCCGCCGAGATAACCGCGCATTGTTGGCTCCCGGGCAATATACTGGATCAACACAGGTGCGGGAGCCGCGGCGAGTTCAGCAGGCCCGGATGCCCTGCGGCACCTGTGGGGGCAAACACACGGAATGGAGCGGTGCGGGGAAAGGGAAAAAAAAAAAAAATCTTTAAAAATTACAACCAAAAAAAAAA